TGTCGGAGGGAGCCCAGCCCCGGCCACCTATCCTCCCAGCCCCGGGGGTGGTGCAGAGCGCTGGCAGCTAATTGCTCTCCCTGGGGAGTTTGTCTTCTAAACACTGCTTCAGCCTTTAAATGTCACTCTTTTAAAAAATTATGCCTGTCAGGTTTGCTAATTGTTTATGAGCACGTCATGTTCTCTCCTCCGGACCGTGTTCCCCACCCACCTGCTGCGGTGGAGTGGTGCTGAGCTCGCCGGGGCTCCGGTGCGTTCGTGCCGCGGTGCGGGGAGGTGCCGGGGGGGACGCGAGAGCCTGCTTCTCCCAGCCAGGCACGGGGTCTGCGCTGGTCCCGCTCTGCTCCTTTGCCACAGCCTTGGGCGGGAGCCGGAGGAGCCCCTGCCGTGTCCCTGGGAGCTGGGGCTGGTCCAGCCCCCCATGTTGCCGCAGCTCCAGCCCTGCTCCCTCTACCCCAGGAGCCTTCCCAGGCTCGGCTGGCTGCATCTGGCTGTGCTCGGGGAGCACGAGGCCGGCTGGAAAACCAACCGTGACCGCTTTGGGAGGGATGGAGGGGGAGAGAGGGGGTGTTCCTCCTGTGGAGTAACAGGGTTGGTTCTTCTGCAAGCTCGTGGGCTGCAAACAGACTCCAGCGCGGTCCTGGACTAATGCAGCGCACATGGAGGAGAGCATGAGTTCCCCAGGGCGGGGAGGCTCTGGGCTTCCCTGGCTGCATTTGATCCATCGTCTCACATCGACTTCTTTCCCTCCAGCCCTGGGGGTTCCCAGCTCGTGAGTTCCTGCGGAAGAAGCTGATCGGGAAGGAGGTCTGCTTTACCGTGGAGTACAAGACTCCGCAAGGCCGGGAGTACGGGATGGTGTACTTGGGGAAAGGTGAGCGCAAAGGGGTCCGTCGGGCACCAAAAGGGCTGGTGGGGAGTGCGCAGCGGGAGCGTGCGGCGCTCTTAGCTGGAGCGTGCGGTGGGAGTGTGTGGTGCTCTTAGCCGGAGCATGCAGCAGGAGCGTGCGGTGCTCGCAGCCAGAGCTGCTGTCTGAGAGGTTGGATTGGGATGCGGTGTCGGCAGCGGAAGGATGCACGCCCGCTTTTTGGTGGAGCACTAGCTTTTGGAGGGGAGCGATGCTCAGCGACGGTCCCAGCTGACGGCAGGGCTACGCAGAGCCGGAGCACGGCCGTGCTCTCTGGAGCTGCAGCCGCTGGTTGATGCACCGCAGCACACGGATGCAGGCTGTGGCGTTAGGTGAATTCCCACAGGTTTCCCCTTGCCATCCTTTTTGTTGTTATAAATCTCCGGCTCATCTCTGGCTGATTGACATCTCCCAAAAGGAACCAGCTTACCTGTGGCCCCTGAGGATGCGGCAGAGCGCCGGGAGCGAAGCCGCTCAGCCCAAACGCTGCGCAGTGCCTGCAGGCAGCGTTCTCCGTGGCTCAGAGCAGCTTGGGGCAGGGTGGCCTTTTGGTGCTGGTGCAGGTGGGCTTTGGCTCCGGTTAGGTCCCTTCTCGTGGTGAGCACGATGCCAGACTGCACTCTGCTCTGCTGGGCTTAGCTCCTGGTTAGACTTCCCGTGCCCTTGGGTTTCAAGAAGGGGGACGAGACCCACTCGGTGCGGGTGGGCTCCTGGGAAGCGGGTGCTCACCAGGACCCAGCTTGTCCTCCAGTGCCACCCGGCTCAGGGTTGCCGGGGCAGACGGATGCACCGGCTCAGCACGGGGCAGGGGATGCGCTGAGCGAACAGTGCACCTCTGTGCTCACCAGAGAGTCGGTGCGGAGCCGGGACAGCCCCACGACTGGGATATTTGGGATACGACCAGGGTGTAGGTCAGGCTCAACCAGAGCTCCCTGGCAGCCTCCTCTCCCATGGGAGGCTCAGCGGGGTAACTCGTTGCAGTTGGGGGAAGGAGGGAAGGACCAGGCGTGTGCAAGGGGCTGTAAAGGAACTCAGGGGCTGCTGAGTTTTGGGTGTGCATCCCCTGGGGTAGCTCCAGTGCAGACTAGGGGGTCGGGTGCCCTCGGCCCCATGTCCCTGTGGACTCTGCTGCTCACGGCTCGGCTGTACGGGGCCAGACTGGAGAGGGTGAGCACCCGCTCACTCAAGGCATCCTTGTCTCCAGATGCACATCCCGGCATCGCTGTGGTGCTCGGGGCCTTTCCTGCAGTGGAAGCGGGAGGTTGGTTCAAGCAGCAAACGGCCGGGACTTGCCGCCGCAGATGGGGTTTGTCCCGAGGCAGCACGGCACAAATGGAGCAAGTGCCGGAGGCCCAGGGAGAAAGGAGGTGGCCCACGATTTGGGGGAGAGGCTCCCTCTGGGTCTGCAGCAGGAGTTGCTGGTGCCTGTGGCTGGGCAGGACGAGGATTGCCAGCTATCAGCTCTGCTGCATGGCCAGAAAGCCCAGCATCGCTGCTGGCTCCTGGTTCCTGGCTGCGGAGGCTCAGCAGGTGCGTTCACAGCCGTGCAGCTCCCCAGGGAGGCTGGAGCTCTGTCCTCAGAGGTTTTCAGGCTCGGCTGCACGTGGCCGGGGTCAGCATGGCCCGTGGTGGGCAATAGCCCTGCCTGGACCCCCTTCCCACCAGCAGCTTGTGGCTGCTGCGAGGGTGACCCAG